GCAAGAGGGACAACCAGGAACTAGCTGTGGGTCTAGATACGGCCAAGGTGGTGAGGAAGTGAGGGCAAGTTTGTGTGACAACAGGGACATGAGAGTGAAAAAGAGCGGGGATCCAGGTGGAAAAATGGTCCTTGCGGTCTCTCGCTCTTCTACCTTTTCCAACTTCACGAGTTGTTTTGCACAATGGTCGTCATATAAACCATTGTGTCAGTGAGCCCCAGGGTAGCTGTGGCTACAATGTAGCTTGCCACTATCAGTGTGTGAGTGTGTGTGTGTGAATCGGTGAATGAATGTAGTGTAAAGCGCTTTGGTCAAGTCTCCTAACTTGAATAAAGGCGCTATATAAGTACATGCCATTTACCATTTACCAAAACGAGCCGGTAAGGTACCAAACAGGAAATGCGCATAATGTAGAGCGGATGTGGATTTGACCAATCAGAGGCCTCCTGTCTGCGGCACTTTCTGCCTTCAGTTACAATTTTGGAGAGGTGCAGCAGAGTGTCTGCGGAAGGGGGACATCTGCGTTCACTACGACACGCAGACGATCTAGTTTCTGAGCATAAATCAGCCTTTCCTGGGGTTTCAGTTTATCTGATCAACATTAACCTCCTGACAGAAACTCCTTCACAACATGAGTCTGTAACAAGTTTTAATTCGACCACGCATGAGTTTTTTTTAAGTAAGAGTAACCAATTCCAGGAAATTCAGCCAAAGCTTAATTAATTATTTTTCTGTCTTTTGAGGCATTCTGAGGAGGACATGTAGGTCCACTTTCAATCACTCTTCTGCTTCCCAACCAAGGCTGTTTGGATTTTAGGTCCAAAACTGAGATTTGAACCATTTTTAATCTTTCATACATACCACTCAGTGGAAGCACTAAATCAAATTTAAAAACGGTGCAAGAGCAAGTCAGATTTTTACATTTTTTTTATGTGGGCACTGAATGAGAGAATGAAACAAGCCAGAAGTTCACCATTTGCTTTAAATACAGAGTGTTACTTTTGCCCTGCCACCACAAGATTCAATTTGCCAAGAGCCATAATAAAGACGTAATAAGTAGTGAAAGCCAATTTATAGAATTTAATAGATGATCAAGTAACCTTTTACAAAGAAAAATATATATTTTTAGAAAGAGTCAAGCAGGACCAGTCCCCAATATAAAAAGAAGAACAACAGCTGTTAGCCTAATTAAAACTACAACAAAGTTAAAGCTAAAAGTAGTGGTGGGTCCATTAACACTGATGGGTGGAGCCCATAGAGCCAAACAGAAAGTAATGTGACCGATACATGTGTTTAGAAATGTATCTGTCAACATGATGTATCTGCTAAAATCTTTTGCTGTTTATAATTAAAATAATCAAGAAGGTTGTAGCAGCCTAAAAGGAATAGGAACGTTTCAGCCGTTGAGTTTTTATTTTAATTTTCTCGATGTGTCATACTTTTCCTCTGTTATCATTCAACTTATCTGCATTAAGCCAATTTCAAATTGACTCTTAGTTGATTTACTGTTTTTACTATACTTATTGTCAGTGGCGGCTGGTGAAAAATATTTTTGGTGGGGCTGATATAGCCTAGTGTATGTCTCCAACTAATCCGGAATAAGAATTCAAATAAACAATTGGACAATACATACAATTTAACAGTAATGATTTAATTT